AATTTATATTACTAGTTTTAGGGTAGGCGCTTTGCGCGTGTATCCAGATCGTTGAATACATAATTTTAAAAATTAATATAAATATTATTAAATAATATTTTGCTTATAAAATTAAATTAAAATACAAGTTCTTGAAAATGATGACGGATGATCCTATTTTATTAGCTCAATAAGGAAGCAATTTTGCCAATATAAGTCCTCATATACGTTATTGTGATTTCTGAGAAATTCTATAGAAGTATCTGATGAAAATTATTGTTATTTCTATAGCGTAATACTGAAAACAAACAAATAGCATAAAATACTTTTATTAACAAAGATAAATCAAATAATTTAAAAATAGAATCTTTTGGTCTTTTTGAATGATGAGGTTGGTTTTATAGCTCATAGAAAAAATAATAATAAGTGACAATGTGAAGTCTAAAAAAACTGATGTTGAGTTACTATTTTACAACTATTAACTTAATATATAAAAACTATAGGAGTTGCCTTTTTTTGAATAAATAATAATAATAATAATAATAATAATAATAATAATAATAATAATAATAATAATAATAATAACAACAACAACAACAACAACAATAATAATAATAATAGTAATTTGCGACAATTTATTTATAATATATTTTGTGTTCCATTATTTCATCCTCATTATTTTAAATTTGTATTTTTACTAATTTGATTCTTAAACTAATTTCAACCAATTTTGTTCATTTTTTCATCACTAATGCTCTTTCTATGGAGATAATTTATACATCCTAAGATTTTTGTTAACCTGAAAACTAATTTACTTATATGATGAAATTAAAAAATAATTAAATTGAATTTTTTTGCTAATTAGTAATTCAAAGATTTAATTATTATTCTTAGCATTAAAAATATTTTGTTCTTTATTCATTCAAATTCTTCAATATATTAGCTCATTCATAGTTTAAATATTTAAATGTAATTATAGTTTTATCCAATAAAAATTTTGCATTGTTGAAGTAAAAAACTAATCCAATATTTCACTTTTGAATTTTTGTTTTGGTAGAACTATCTACCATTTTCTCTCTCTCTCTCTCTCTCTCTCTCTCTCTCTCTCTCTCTCTCTCTCTCTCTCTTTGTATCTACCATACTCTCTCCCTCTTTGTCTTTTATAATTCGTAAATATCGTTTTAGTATTTTGTCTTATTATTGGTCAGATCTTTTCAAATATTATACAAAAATAATATTTAGAAAGCTAGAACTTAATTGTAATTAGAATTTCAAAAGTAGGTTGTATTCTCATTGAATAATATGAGAAATTAGAAAATGGAGTCCACTCAAATTCATTTACTTCTCTAGTGTTATATCGTTAGATTTGGTTAGGTTTTCATGCTTAGTATCCTAATAAAACATACATAAATATATTGTTATAAAATATTATTTATAATTACAATTTTACTTAACAAGTTTTTACACTAATTGTAATTAAAGAATATTAATTGTTTGGTTTTTTTTTTTTAACCAATTATAAGCCTTAAGTTTTCCTTTTCTCAAAAAAGGAAAATTTTTGTTTAGTTTTTCATGCTTATTTCACACGTTTGGCCTCATCACAGAAGTTCAAACAAGGACTATTTAATATGCAATATTGCAGTTGATTTGGAACTCCTATATATTAGGGAAATAAAATGAAAGTTGATTTACAACTCCAAAATATTAGAAAAATAATTAAATGATTATTTTGTCTGACGTAAAATTTATTTTTAAAAGGTAAAAAAGGTGAACGACATTTCGCTAAGAGTTTTTGTGCTTTTAATATAGTATAGATAGGGCTGAAATTTTAAGAGTCAAACTTCATAATTTTAACCGTGAATTCGGATGTAGTTCCTTAAGTTTTCTAAAACAAAAATTAATATATTTGAAAACTACGTAAAAAGTACTATAAGTTACAATAGTTAACAAGTCAAAATATCTAAAAGACATACGAAAAAATTAAGATATAAAAAAACTCGTTTGATTCTCAAAATCCGAACTTTGCCATATAAATTGAAACAGAAGGAGCACCAAGTTTGATATGTGGCAAATTTGGAGGTGATAAAAAACTTGTGATGTTTGTTTTTGAATATAGTTTATTCGAAAACTCTTTTTTTAATATTTATAACTACAGATACTCTTCTTTTATTTTTTTAAAACTTCAATCAGCAAATATTGTCCAATCAAATACTACAAATTATTTTGGGTGAAGTGAGTCCAAAAATGAAAATTTATGAAGTGTTAGAAGAAGAATGTTGGAGTCGTTATCAGGCTCTGACTCTTAGGTTTCAATAGGGGTCGCACGCGTGCTACCGTGTGGGGTCAAATTCTTTGACTTGCAAATATTTTCAAATCCTAAAGTCAAAATATCTAGTACTACTACTTTAGGAGACAAGGATATTTTGAAGATTATAATTTCGAAATTATAGTTTGGAAAAGGGTCAAAATTATTCATATACTATCAAATATAATTTAAAATTGCCCTTTGTTATATTATAGGAAACAATCTCTCTGCCATTCCAGGGGTAGAGATAGGACTGCGTACAACTTACCCGCCCCAGACCCCACTTGTGAGAAATGACTGAGTTTGTTGTTATTGCTGTTGTTGCCCTTCGTTATATTATTTGGTCAACTGAGTCCCATCGTTATACATCTATTCAAATCTACCCCTAATTTAGACAACAAGCCACGTGTCATTTCCAAAATCAATTGAATCGTCCCCAATTTAAAAAACCAGATACTTCTCTTATCCACCCCCATTACCAGAGCCTAACCCCCTCCAAATAATCCACCAGACCAGTGGCGTAGCCACCCTATAGAAAGGGAGGTCAAGCGCACACCATTCGCCGAAAAAATTATACTGTATGTATAAGTTAAATATTACTTTATATGATTATATATTATATTTTGAGTAACTTTAATACATCAATAAAAAAAATTATTAATTTATTTACAGTTTGAACGTCTTTGACGAAATTTCTGACTACGTCACTGTACCAGACCCAACCCCTCACTCACTCACCTCTCTTAAGGTACCATAAATTCAGTGCTACTAATATTTAGGGTGGATCCATCAAATTTATATCCTAGATTACTTCACCTACTGAGCTAAAACCTAGAATAACGGCCAATGCTAAATTCACGGGCAGATGTATTGTCTCAGTTATGAACTCATAAATTTAGAAGTAGGATATATATAGTGCTACGGATATTAAGCCAGTGAGCATTCTAGAGCCGACACGTAATATGTCGTATAGTTTAGAAGTACAAGTTTGCTTTAGATATGACAAAATGAACCTCCTTTAATTTGGCCGAAAAAGACGAAATCAAAATTTGAATCTTATGAACTCAAATTTTTAATCTTTCTAAGATATTGGGTTCCCAACTAACAATATGTACATACTTAATGAATATTTTAAGAAAAATATAAAATTTGAATTAAAACTATTGATTTCGAGCAAACTTATTATCGAAACTCTAGCTCCGCCCTACTTTGATGCCAGATTCATTGTCAACCACCTTCAGGACTAAGGGAGCTAGTACAAGAATTAGATGATGGCTTTTATGAACCAAGTTTAGTGGCAAAAGATATTTAACATTGACTTCTACCACTATCCCCTAAAAGGTAAAAAGGAAGCAAAACATAAATCCTTTTCTTGAACCACCACAACTTTAATTTATTATTAACACATTAATTAGTTGTTGCAATTTAATTCTATATTTTTCTTTAATTGTATTAATGAATGTTCAAAACTTTAAGGGGCATTTAAAAAGGACAAGAGAGAGAGTAATTTAAAAAAGGAGAACATAATGAAAAAAGTGTGGCATTTCTTAATTTATCTTTTCTCCTTCTTATCTTGAACAAATTCGACACATGTATGGTCTTCTGTTAATAATTATTAATTAACTGGCATAAATAGAATTTTTAGTGGAAGAGCAGCCTAGTTTTAGCTTAATGGAAAATGTCCAAATATGTCCTTATGTTATTTGAAACTTTTTAATTTTTCTATGTCCAAATTATATTTTTGGTTAATTCTCTTATTACCCTTATTATTAATGGAGCTTCGACCTGAAATGGATAGAATCTAATGCTCAAATTCTACTAGGAAAAGGTTTAAATATATACGCCTAAACTTTAAACTATGATTTAAAATTAAGTCTCAAATTGGAGTTCCCGCCCTTAAGTGTCTAGGACAAATTAAATAAGATTTTTTCTTTTCATAACGGCAAGAGTAATATTAAACCAAAAGTGTAAATGGAGGAAAAATAAATGTGCAGTTTCAGATAGTACAGAACCAAATTTGAGCATTATCACTAGTTTAATTGAGGTTTAATAAAATGTAGCTCAAGATTTTGAGGTAATATTTTTCTTCTTATTTTTTGGTATAATCATCTAGTATCTTTGATATAATGTCCCGGTTAATTAAGATTTTTCTTAGTGTAATGTCTAAATAGAGGGAAAGTGCTTGCTATCATGGTCTATTTTCAGAACTCGAACCCAAAGTCTCTTATTAAACGTGGAAGAATCTCATTTATCGTCACATCAGTTAATGTAAATTATGTAACATCAAATAAAGATTATTGTGGGTATGACGTGTAAGCTCTTGTCTTCAATTATAAATGGTAGACGTCTATACAAAGTAATTCATTTTTTCTATTTGGCCACAAAAGCAAAACTGAAATATATTCCTACTTTGAAGAAAATAATAGAGTCAAAGTGGGGGAAAAGCCAAGACTTCTATTGACTACTCCTATAAAAGATAATACTATCAAAAGGCAAAAAGAAACAAAAAACAAGAAGTAATTAATCAATGTTTGGCTAAGGATGGAATTCAATATAATTTCCTTAGAAATTGACCTTTCCATTTGTCTAATCACTCTTGAAAAAAGTCAATCAAAATTTTGGTCATTTCTCAAAGTCTCACTATTTTCAAATAGTTTAGTTTCCTATATATACTTCCATATATACTATAAATAGCAAGATAAAGCAAAACCAATTCATTTCAACGTTTTATAAACATAGCCAAAAGCCACAAAACCATAAAACCAAACCCCAAGTGTAAAGCAAAGAGAGTTTTCCAGAATAAGAATCTTGAATTCAATACCAAAGAGAGAAAAAGGAAACACAGAGTCATCACAATTTATAAACTCAAAATATTGCAAGACTGAATTTTTCTCTACTTTTCTAACTCGTTTCGAACCAATCCTACACTTGTTGTTGTTGTTCTTGAAAATCGCAAAAAGGATTTTCGGACTTAACGAAACGGGAGGAAAGCTGCTGTCGGTATTGAAAACGTCCTTACTATGGCGGAAGAATTTCAACTAGGAAATGGAAATTGGTGGGATAATACGTCGATATCGAGGAATAGTACGCCTACTGCAGCTTCCACTACAATAAGTAACATGTCAAGCAACTATAGTAATTGGCAGAATACAGAAACTCAAGTGGACATCAAACCTAGGACTTTCTTGAATTCTGGTTCAGTACTGTCTGAATCTTCCGGTGGAGGCAGCGGCGGCGGCGGCGGAGGCGGAAGTAGAGGCGTTTTATCTGGTGATAATAATTTTCAAATGATGGGTTTAGGCCTTACTTCTCAACCACATGAATGGAACCAATCTTTATTGTAAGTAATAGTATAAGCTTTCTAAAACATGCTAATTCAGAATTTAAATTTGATATATATATATATATATAAGTTTGAAATCTTTATGTGTTTATCATTAAATCTATCGGCTATGATTGAAAATTTAATATTTTTTGAAATTTTAGTAATTTTTAACGCTCCGTTTTTCTAGCAAATTAAAGTTTTTTGTTTTTTTTTAATTTTATTTTCAGGAGGGGTGAAAAAGCTGAGAGTGGGTTTTCTTCTATACTTCAACAAGAAGATTTAAGTTCAAATAATACAAATAATTATCAGCTAGAAGCATCTAATTCTCAACAAGATCATCATTGGAATAGACAGAAAATATATTCTGGGAATTCTGAGGATTCTTCATCAGTGGATGATTATAAACAAATGAATTTTGTTTATAATATTAATCCATCAAATAATTATGGTTTAAGCCAAGAATCAGCAGCTCAAGATAATCATGTGATGCATTCATCTACAACTTCTTCTTGGTCTAAATTTCCTCAGCTTCTCCGAACATCCCCGCCGGGACAGCAGCCGCTGCCGCCGCCGCCTCACAGTCAGCTGCATTTCTCAAATAATACTCCTTTTTGGAATGCTAGTGCAGCTGCCATGAATGATGTCCCTTCAAGTCTATTTCCTTCTAATTTGCATCCTCAACTTCCCATTCCAACGGTTGATGAGAAAACAAAGGTAACTATCGAATTATCTGATCATCTCATCTAAAAGAGTAATGTCTCAATATGCCGCCTCATCTTTTTTCATGGGCTACACACGCGGACATATAAATGGGAGTCCTGGTATAACTGGTAAAGTTGTTGTTATGTAACCAGATTGTCACGGGTTCGAGCCGTGGAACCAGCCTTAGGGTAAGGTTTCATACAATAGACCCTTGTGGTCCGACCCATCCTCAACCCCGCGCATAGCGGGAGGTTAGTGCATAATCAGACATAATTTAGATTTTTTGTTGGAAGTGAGATTTGAACTCAATGATATCTTGTCCGCTCTATATCATGTTCAATAGTTTAAACTTTTTATCCGAATGTTTAAACTATTAGAAAGAACACACTTGTAACTAACTAATTAATTATGTTATGTCTCAATAGTAATTTCATTACCGAAAGTGAATTCAGAATTTCGAGTCAATGGGTTCAAAATGTGTGATCTATTTTGTATTTATATTGTAAGTTTCTTTTTTTATATGTCTAAGTTATGCGAATCAAAAGTAGTGGATTCAGCTAAATTCGCTCCGAGTTCACCACAATTCATTATTTATGAAGATTTCATTCTCAAAAGAGCTGCATGATTTCATAGTTGTAACCATGTAATTTGCATGTCATATCTAGGGTTTTGATTTTCTTTTGGTAGATTGAATACATACATGTACTATGTACTGATGTTAATTCTTTCACTCATTGCAACAGAATACAGGAGAAATTAGAGATATAAATAGAATGTCAAAGAAAACTAGCAGTGAAATATCAAATAAAAGACCACGGGATGAAACTCCATCTCCTTTGCCAGCTTTTAAGGTACGTCTGCAAGTTTTCTTAAACTTCGTTTCCACTCAAATATAGTGATATAAATTGGAATAGAAGGAGGTAGAAAATATTTAATTTTAGAATATATATAACTTTCTTAATTCATTTTTAGGTGAGGAAAGAGAAGATGGGAGACAGAATCACTGCACTTCAACAATTAGTCTCACCTTTTGGAAAGGTACACTGAGAATCACTAGTTCTCTGAATTCATTAAAAAAAAAAAACATTTAAATCATTTTAATTTTTTCTTATTCTTTTATTTTTTTTCCAGACTGATACAGCTTCTGTACTCTCGGAAGCAATTGAATACATAAAGTTCCTCCATGATCAAATTGGTGTAAGTTTCAGAAGTGACTTTTCTTATTTATTTAAGTTGGGTATACGAACAAAGTCTCATATTAAAAGAAAACTACATAAAAGGTGTAACTGACATTCTTAATGGTTTAACCCTTTTGAAGAAAACCGTACTAATTTGGCTCTGACAATATTATAGTTTCTCATCCGATTTTTTTTCTATGTAAAATTACAGGCATTAAGCGCCCCTTACATGAAAAGTGGATCATCTGCAATGCAACATCAACAGGTACTGAAAATTACCTGTTACTTTTTTCTTTTCTTTTTTTTTTTTAACAAAATTACCTGTTACTTCATTGTGGTTCACACCAGGGGCGTATGTAGTGTATATGTGACGGGTTCAACTGAACCCATAACTTTCAATGCGGAACATAAATTTATGTGTAAAATCTACTAAAATTGCAACAAATAGTAGATTTGAACCCATAATTTTAAAAATATAATGAGTTCAATCCTAAAAATCTTAAAGGCTGAACCCATAAAATTTAAATCCTAGATTCGCCTCTGGACTTCACACTGAGAATTTGTGGTGTTTGGATTTTATTTTTATTTAATATTTGAAAAAAGCTAAGTTTTGGTAAAATTTTCGAAAAATGATTGATAAAGTTGTGTTAGATTAGATTCAGTATATGGGAAAAGTTCTATGCACTTACTATAATGTAAAATATGTATACACAATTAGGTTATCTATTTGTAGTTTTTATAATAATATGTTATTATAGATTAAACAATATTCGTATGTATAAATTTTTTTTACATCATTTCTTAAGGTTCAAAGTTCAGAGTTTAGGGTTTAGAATATATAGCAGCTGCCAATAATATGTACACTGACATTTTGCAGAGTAATAATAAATCCGAGGATGCAGAAGGACGAAACCAAGATCTTAGAAGTCGAGGATTATGTTTGGTACCAGTTTCAAGCACTTTCCCAGTAACTAATGAAACGACAGTTGATTTCTGGACACCTACATTTGGTGGAACATTCAGATAATTATAACTACTTAGGCTGATGCAGAATTTAAACTTGACGGGATCAACTTCTAAGGTTCTTACCGTTAAATCTGTTGCACTTTCGAAATTATAGGTTCAAAATTTAATATTTTTTGGAATTAATTTAGTAATTTTTTACATATATATTAATGCTTTCGGTAAAAAATAATGGATTCAGTTGATATTATCGGTAGTAGTATACACCTACTGGTCCACGCTGACGATATGATGATGAAAAAGAAAAAGGATAAAAGGAAATGGTGAAAGAGAAAGAAAAAAGGAGTGACTCTTTAAACAAAATGATGCAGCTTTTGGCCAATATTAGGGACCATTGAATGCGTATATCGATATTTATTAAGGAATGTCAAAATATAAGAAATTAAATATGCCAAAAAATTAAGGAAATCAATATATAGTAAATATACATAAAATAAAAAAATTATCTAACAATATAGTATAATTTTCTAACGAAGGGGTCTCATTTGGTACACCTTGGTTGAATGTGACTCCACCACTATATTCTTGTAATACAAAAAATACGCCTCAATTTTAAATAATTCACAGACGGTACGGATTTATCATGAAAATGTATGCTTACTGCTTAACACAATTCTCCTCTTTTATCCAGGATTTAATTTAGACCAACAATTTGTACAAGCGGAGTTGCATATATTCTTGTATTACAAAAGACACGCCTCAATTTTAAATAATTTGAAGACGGTACGGATTTATCATAAAAATGTATGATGACTGTCTGCCTACCGTAATTCTTTTCTTTTGTTCGGGCTTTAGACCAACAATTTGTGCAAGCTAGTTCACACAGGCGGAGTTGCATATATTTTTGTAATACAAAAAATATGTCTCAATTTTAAACAATTTGAAGACGGTGCGGATTTATCATGAAAATGTATGTTGACCGTCAATGTACGGTAATTCTTCTATTTATCCCGGCTTTGGACCAACAATTTGTGCAAGCTAACTCAACACAGACAGTTGCATATATTCTTGTAATAATTGAAGAATTGACACATTAAAGATTGCTTGCTTTTTAGGAATAAGATGATAAAACAAATTAGGTAGAAAAAAGAGTTGATGATTAGAAATTTATTTTAGTAGTTTATAGAAGAATTTGTTGTTTGTAGCTAATTTAGTTGAAATGATTCGAATAAAGGAGTTTTTAGCTAACTGTTGTATCTATTATTTGTATAATATATTGTTGGCACCACCTTTAATTGTTTTTAAATGTTTTTAAAGAAAAGAAACAAGGAATAATGAAATTCACAGAATAAAGTTGAGTGTGGACTAGAGATCATTTGATTGGAAATTTAACTTTTCATTTGTTTATTTATTGGAATATGTTAGTGGAAGTCAGAAGATTATGGCCCATGCCCCCTCTCCAATTCTCACCCCCCCCCTCCACCCCCGCAACCCATTTTTTCCCCTCTGTCTTTATAATTTATAAATACATTTGATTTTGACTGGCCACTGAAAGAATTTTTTTTATTTTTTATTTATGATCTAAAACAAGTATAAATATTTTTGTAAATATAAATCATCTCATTAAGGTAAAATAAAATTTTAAATTTAATTTATGTCTAAATATAAAAATATATCATGGAACAAACTAAAAAGAAAGTGTATCAATTAAATTAGAATAGATGAAATACTTTTTGCATAATTTGATTGACACGAAATCTAAAAAAGAAAAAAATATAATTTTTGATATATATGATTATATATAAAAGCATGTTATGAAATAAGAATAGTAAAATACAAAATTAATTTTAAAATGATAAATATTTTATTTTTTTGGACAAACTAATAAAAAATATTATTTTATAAATTGGAGAGTAGGAGATATTTTATATATTCTGGGAGAAGTAATGGAGGGATGTTGGTGAAGGAGCTATCAGACATCCTTTTTTTGGTGCTTTTTATCTAATGGTCACATTGAAGTGATTCCATTGGAAGGCAACACTCGTTCTTCCTTTCCTTGTAGACTGTTCTCTAATTTATGTGATATTTTTATCTTTTTTAGTTAATCCAAAATATGATATTTTTTATATTTAATAATAATTTAAATTTAAATATTTGTTTCTACTCCAACTTGATGATTTCTAGTCATACAAACTTTTATGGTTTGTTTTAAACCATAAATTTCAAAAATATTCCGTTATTTTTTAAACTTGTGTCTAGTCAAACACCTTCACATGAATTGGAGCGGATTGAGTACATGTTCGGTTGTTTGGTTAGATATAGTAATTGTTAATAATTAGAATTCTCGCGTGCTTACGAGTGCAATAGTTAATCCGAGTTCACCTTGGCTCTCGCTCCAAAATTTTTATGAAGACTCTGGTGACATATGTGTGTGATAGGGTCCTCAAATAAATGTCAAAGATTGGTGATGTAATTATAAGTGTATGAAGCCGATAGTGTAATTGATGGATTGAAGAATCTATCGACTTGCATTAACTTTCCATAGCTAGTAAAGGAAACTACGTCGTTGTAAAATACAACAATTTTTTTAAAAGTGTATTTGTAATCATTTAAGATATTTCGATTACGAATTAATGATGTTGTTGCCTTAGTATATCTTCATCTATCAGTAAGTTAATCATTAAAAGTACTTTAAGCAAACATAAAAATTTAAAGACCAAAGTGGTCCTAATTAATTATGCCATATGTATACGGTCGAAATAGATTTCGGTCCTCCTACGCTCGATCGAGTTCGAATGATAAGCGACCGGAGTGAGATTTTGGGATGAGTTCCGAAGAACAGTACAAATAAGCTTCGAGTTCCAAGGCTGATCAAGGAGTCGGCTCGATACCATTATCGAGCCATGACCAAATCGACCCACAAGGCAACATGAGGGTGGTCGGAAACACACTACACCCACCCCAAAGGTCGAGTTGAAACCAAAGCCGAGGGCTCGGCCCAATAACAAGTTCGAGCAAGTATCGAGCTCGCAGGCAAGAGCCGTTACAACCGCACTAAGGGAAATAATCTTGGCAGGAATCGAGGAAGAAACAATTCATCATGGGTTCTCCACTATATATTTTTTATTATTGTGAATAAAGTAGGATCCCTCTACTATAAGAGGGGGAATCCTTGTAAGCAGGGGAAGTTCTCACACATTGTAACAAAAAGATTATTTCTCATATTGAAAGATATCCCCTTGTGCTTGTTTAACTTTATCTTATTCGTTCTTCTTGCTCATTATTCTCATTCTCATAGTCAAGAACATATGTATTATCATTTCCAAATACGGTTTGTATCAAATTATATCACATATCCTTAGAACCATATTTAAATTTAACTCTATCCGTTTTTCGGGTAAACAGTTTGACGCCCGACTGATGGCTTTACCTATCGACCACGAAGCCGGCCTCCAAGATGAAACCAACAACTTGACACCCAAGGTCGGAAGGCGAATTAATGATGTCACCGAAGCTCGAGTCGAAGTATCGCTAGATGTCAATTCATAAGTAGCTCTTGAGGCGAACCAACGTTCCGAACCGGAAAAAGGCATTCAGGGCGGTACGTGATCCGTAGCTCGAGTCACCCATAACGTGGAGGAGATCGGAGTCATCTTACGGATGATCTTCGAGATGTTACAAGTCCAGCAAGTAGCGATAGCTCAGTTGTAGAGCCAAACTCAGGTACAAAGCAGACCGGAGCCCAATCTGCTTCGAGAAATCACCCACAGAATGGAACCAGCCATAGTGAAGTCAAATGAGCAAGAATCGGGGACTACTCCCGAAATTACTAAAATGCTCGAGGAACTCACAAAACGAGTCGAAGCCAACGATAAAAAAGTAGAAATATATAATTCCAGGGTTGATCAGATCCCGGGAGCTCCATCAATGATAAAAGGGCTAGATTCGAAAACATTCATTCAAAAGCCTTTTCCCTCGAGTGCATCCCCAAAACCAATCCCCAAAAAATTCCGTATGCCCGAAATACCCAAATATAACGGAATGACCGACCCCAACGAGCATGTCACTTCTTACACATGTGCCATCAAGGGCAATGATTTGGAAGATGATGAGATCGAATCAGTATTATTGAAAAAATTCGATGAAACCTGTCAAAGGGGGCAATGGTATGGTATCATAATTTACCATCTAACTTTATTGATTCTTTTGCTATGCTTGTAGATTGCTTCGTAAAAGCACATGTCGGAGCCATTAAGGTCTAAACCATATAGCTGAACCTGTTCAAGGTAATACAAAAAGATAACGAGATGCTAAGGGAGTTCGTATCTCGTTTTCAAATGGAACGAATGGATCTGCCACCAGTCACAGACGATTGGGCTGTCCAAGCTTTCACTCAAGGTCTAAACGAGCGGAGCTCGATGGCTTCACGGCGACTGAAGCAGAATCTGATTGAGTACCCAGCTATTACTTGGACCGATGTGCACAATCGATATCAATCCAAAATAAGAGTCAAAGATGACCAGTTGATTTCTAGGTCCGTTACGAAAAGAACTACCAAGAAAAAATCGACCAGAGATCGATACCAGTCATATAACGAAAACGATACTACTGCTGAGTATCCGAGGCCTCATTAAAATCAACCTCGTATACTGTGGGGCTTTATCATTGAACGCATATGTGGTGATTATCAAATTCGGTGCAAAGGAAGTTACTTCGTTATGACAAACAGTGTCTCAACAGGAAATGTTATAAGTGCCAAATGATCAAAACGAACCATGCTTATGTAGTTGGCCCGAGCCCTGACACAAAACGCGAACACATGTTTAATGACTTGCAAAGACAATCTTCTTTACCGATATTCTATGTTCAAGATTTATTATACAAACAGGATCGAGTTCGAGCAAGTGCTCACTTGACCATTACGCCTATGGGCTATATTATTTCGAGTTCGAATCATTCACTCGACTACTAAGCCTACGGGCTACTTCGACCATTACGCCTACGGGCTACATTGCATCGAGTTCAAATCATTCACTCGACTGCTAAGCCTACGGGCTACTTTTATTTCGAGTTCGAGCAAGCGCTCACTCGACCATTAAGCCTACGGGCTACTTTTATTTCGAGTTCGATCAAGCACTCACTCGACCACTTAGCCTACGGGTTACTTTTATTTCGAGTTCGAGCAAGCGCTCACTCGACCATTAAGC